TTAACATTTACATTTGTTGCTACAGGCCTATTCTTTTTGATCGTTCTCTCGAATTTAAAAAAAAAATATCGCGTAATTTTAGGTCACCCTGTATGTATGAAAAATAATTCGAATTGTTTAAACAACACATTCGATTAATGCTGAACAGGCCTGAACGAAGCAGTTCATTAATCTGATCCAGGAACAAACGATCGACGATGGGAAGGAACACCGAAATTAGTACAAGACAGTTAGTGTAGAGATGGGACGAAAGACTACCGACATATTTATAAGAAATGAACATGTTCTTTGCAGAACATATATTTTTATTTCCTCATTTCGTTCAGCTTTTGGACTAAGAGAAAGACTTGTTTGTATGATAATTAATGAAGAAAAGCACATCTTGTAGAGCAGTCTGTTTCTTTTTTCCAGTTAAAGAACATGTCGAGCCGAAAATACGTATCGAAAGAAAGAGAATGAAGATGATGGACTTAACTATCGTTAAGGAGATTGAACTATGTGTTTCTTTCGTTTACAGAGGAAATATCTTACCTTCATTTCGTTCTAAACGAAAGACACGAATAAAATTTACATTTTTAATCTCGAAAAAGATGTTTTCAGATTAATTAAGAAACGCAATCTTGATTAGAAAGGCAAGAGCATCAAAATTCAAATCTCCTTTTTTTCTGGAAATTTTTGTACGACGGTCGTAATAGTAGATACACGCCCCATAACACAAGCCTCCCTAAAAATTTTGAACGCTTGGACAGTTTAGAAGCTCCGGAGGCTTCTATTATGCGGAGGGTTTAATTTTATTTTCGGTGGTCAACTGTGGTATCTATTTTTTTCGACAAAACGTTATACCATCGCCCAAACGTAAAAAACTAACATCGATACTTTGATCATTTTTAATATGTTCATTAATTTGACGCACAACCTTTGTTCCTTCTTCGTTATCATTTGGATTGAATATTCTACCACACCATAACGTATTATCAATAACAATTAAACCATTTGGACGAGTTAATTTTAAACTAATCTCATAATATTTCATATAATTTTCTTTGTCAGCATCAATAAAAAATAAAATCAAAACTATTTTCACCATATTCTTCTAATAGTTCTTGTAATGATTCAAGTGCCGGTTTTATTCGAACTCGAACTTTTTTATCAACACCAGCACGTTTCCATAAATCTTTTCTTGGAAGCCATTTGAGTATCTCGTCGACACATTTTCTTTCACTGTTTTCACCCCTGAGACTCTTGAGTAGAGCAAAATTTATGTAATGTAATTTCAATAGTACATTCAAAATGTGGCAGAAATGTTAATACCCTCTCTGACGATTTATGTTACTGTGACATTGAAAGTGAATCAATTAATATCCACTACGTGGATGTAACTACGTGGATGTAACTTCTTCAGCTTCTAATA